GCAAAAGAGGAGATACTTTAGCTGGGGACTGAAGAAAGAAGAAATTCATCGAGAAAGAAAGACATTCCAGAAAGAAGAATACGGATATATGAAAATAATAAGATCTATTCAGAGAACACTAAGTTTAGTGCAACTAAAAAGTGGGTCGAATAGAAGGAGAAAGAAATGTGAACTTTATACTAAATGACAAGTCTCTAAGAGGAATGTAGGGAAGAAGGAAGTGAGATGCACAAAAAGAAGCCCAATTCAAAAAATAGGTGACAATGAAGACTGGGAGAAGAGAATGAAGTCAACAGATCTCGTAAGAGACATAACTGACGGACCTTTTTGATGATTATCCCAAAAAGTCAAAATTAAAGGTGACTAACACTTTCAGCTTGAATGGGTGAGCCACTAATGGAACAAGATAATCCAGAAAAACAAACGGGTCTTTTGGAAGAGACAGAAATCATTGGAAAAGTAAGGGGAAAGAAGATAGGGAGAGAAATTCTGGGTATATAGAATTGCTGATTCTAGTAGAGACATACATGTATGACTAGATTTTAAGAATGAAGGCCGGGATAAAGAATTGGAAATTATCCTTATATAGATGGTAATCTCATCCTTTCCTTCCTCCCTCCTGTTACAAAAAAATCCAGAATCATAAAAATGAAAGCCACGTACGAAAAACAGAAGGAAGAAGCTAGAGCGAGCCTGATTCCTTACTTCTGTGTAGCCATATCAATCCTACAATTGTCTACTTCAGGACTCCTTGTTTATTTTTCCTCACATAACATTGCTTTACTTGTTTAAGCTACTGCTGTCATGATTTTTGATACTGACAGTCAAATTTATTCCTACCCAATGCAGTGGTCATCATGGTTTTGCCTATGTTCCTCTTCTCTTGACACTCTCTACACTCTCCTATGGGAGACCTCATCCATTCCCTTAGCTTTAAAAGCCACCTATGTGTTGATAACCCCCAAATCTAGATCTTCATTTTACTCAATAAATGCTGAGTGGATATTACAAAACAAGACCATTTGAAACATTAAATTTTTGCTATCAGAGAAAGTGATAAAGTATAAAACAATACTCTAATCCTATGGAAAGCTATAAATAATACAAGGAGTCAACCCTCATAAGCACACTGCAGTAAAGCTGTACAGTCCTACTGTATATATGTAACAGATTCAGTGAACAAATAAGAGAGAAAAGTGGGATACTGCCAGGGAGGTTAGATAAGGAGAAAGACTTACAGGAGAATCAAAACCTAGAGAGTAGAACTAGATAAACTGTATATTATTTCACAGATATTTCAGTAAATAATTCTAAATAAATTTGTTTTTGCTGTGGCAAAATATACATAATAGAAAATTTATCATTTTAACCATTTTTAAATGTACAGTTCAGTGGCATCACGTATAGTCACATTGTTGTGCAACCACCACCACTATCCACCTCCAGAACTCTTTCATCATCCCAGACTGAAACTCTATACCCATTAAACAATATTTTCCCACTCCCCACTCCTCTCAGCCCCTGGCAACCACCATTCTGAATTCCGTCTCTATGAATCTGACTACTCTGGGTATCTCAAAGTGTGGAATCACACAGCATTTGTCCTTTTGTGACTAGCTTACTTCATTTAGCATAACGTTCTCAAGGTTCCTCTATACTGTAGCACGTGTCAGAATTTCCTTCCTTTTTAGGGCTGAATAATATCCCTTCTATGTATAAAACCACACTTTGTATATCCATTCAAAGTTGTTTCCACCTTTTGGCTATTGCAAATCACACTGCTATGAACATGGGTGTACAGCTATCTGTTTAAGTCCCTGCTTTCAGTTCTTTTATGCATATAATTAGAAGTGGAACTGCTGAATCAAATGGTAATTCTATGTTTAATTTTTTGAGGAACAGTCGTACTGTTTTCCACAGCAGCTGCAGCAATCCACATTCCCACCAGTAATGCACAAAGATTCCAATTTCTCCATATTCACACCAACACTAGCTGTTTACTGGTTTTCGGTTTGCTTTTCCTTTATTTAGTTAATAACAGCCACCCTAATGGGTGTGAAGTGGTGTGTCTTTGTGGTTTTGACTTACATTTTCCTAATGATTTGTGATATTCAGCATCTTTTCATGTGCTTATTGGCTATTTGTATATCTATCTTCTTTAGAAAAATGTCTATTCAAGTCCTGTGCCCACTTTAAAGTTGGATTGTTTGTATTTTTGCTGTTGAGTTTTAGGACTTCTTTATATATTCTGAATATTGATTAAATATATCTATTTTTAAAATTTATTTTATTTATTTTTGGCTGCACTGGGTCTTCGTTGCTGTTCACGGGCTTTCTTTAGTTGCGGAGAGCGGGGGCTACTCTTTGTTGTGCTGCGCGGGCTTCTCATGGCGGTGGCTTCTCTTGTTGCGGAGCACAGGCTCTAGAGTGCAGGCTCAGTAGTTGTGGCACACAGGCTTAGTTGCTCCGCAGCATGTGGCATCTTCCCGGACCAGGGCTCAAACCCATGTCCCCTGCACTGGCAGGTGAATTCTTAACCACTGCGTCACCAGGGAAGCCCAGTATATCTATTTTTAAAGAGAACACTAACAAGCAAGTTGCTACTTAAATGAAACTTACAATATCATAAAAGAATTATAGATTAAATTACTATGAATGCCCCACTTATGATTAAGAGCAGTCTGAAAATACAATCCTTTCAAGTAGCAATTCCAAAATCAAATAATTTTTAAGTCATCAGTCTCTCCTCAAAACAATTAAACACTCTTGTTTTTCTATAAAGCTCACGAGTACGCAAAAATGTTTTTAAAATTCATGATTGATAAAAACACTAAACAAGTAACTAAAATTCACATGATTCATGTGAAACACTCAAAACTACACACACCTGTCAGAGTTTCAGAGCCACCATTACACACACCTTCAAGCAATAACACTCATATTTCAATTTATGTAAGTGCTATGCCCTGGAGTACAGGGGAGCACCCTTATATATGCAGACTAAATGGCGGTCCCTGGAGTCGTGGGGCACAACAGCCCTTTGGCATTCAAGTGCTAACAGATGTATGTTCCACTTTATTATCACTATCCCTGACATAAATTTTAAAGTTAAAAAAAGTAAAGAATAATAAAAGTAAGTGCACCATGGTATTCAATTCAATGACTCCCTAAACTCCAAATTAACTTATTCATTCTTATCCAATTAAAGTATTCAATCCTATTTTTCCAAATGATAGTTTTACTACTTAAGTAGATAGATCTCTTATTTTCATCTACCCCAGCATCCAATCTTCCTTCTTCTGTTAACACCTCAATTTCCCATTAGACAACACCTCTCCCCATTCTCAGTCCCTGAACTTCACAGGTAGTGCCTGAGATGAGTAAGTCTGGGCAATCAAATTCAGTGATTAAATCATTAGACACAAAATAAGACAGTAAGGTTCAGTCCTAGAACTTCTGCTGAAATTTTTAGTTAACAGATACTTTTAAAATTGCTAAGCTGGGCTGTTGGTAAGCACCTTTGCCGTCTCATAAGAAGGGCCAATCAGAGAAAAAAGCTTACACACACACAAAAAGGCAGAGCATAAAGACAAACTCAACAATGTCCCTGATGACAGTACTGCAATGTCTTATAGATAAGTCCTTTCCCTGAATTTACAGTACATAAGTCAATAACTCCTTTTTTTTTTTCCACTTAGCTTCTTAAGGCTTTCTGTCACTTGCCAGTCCTAACTAATATGTATGGTTTCACATATAATTGTGTCCCCTTATCATTTATATCTCAGTTGTCAGTGATAATTTTGATAAGTCCTGGAGGCCTGTCTGTATCAGACTTAAACATGCATTATAGAACGTTTATAATGATAAAACATTACAAAATGTCAACTTATTGTCCCCACAATGACTACTCATTCGAAAGTATGCTCTTAGAAAAAAAAGAATGCAAAATTGATAATGTATTAAAAAATGTACAACTCTACCAAGTAGAATGTAAACATGTGCTTACAAAAAACACATCAAAAAATTCCATTTTATTAAACCTGGGGAAATAAAATATCCCTACTTGATAAGAAACTGTATGTATAAAATCATTACAGTTAGAATAGTAGTGAACAGAAAAAGTGGAGTTGAGAGAAACGTTAACATAAAGTAAATGCAACGAAAAATGGGAAATTTTCTCATTAGCTTTTTCCAATGGCACAAAATATCCATTCTCACTTAGATTTAGAGTTTATGTAAAAATATACCTGTATTAATTTCCTACAGCCACTGTAATTACTACACACCTGTGGCTTAAAATAACAAAAATTTATTTCTCACAGTTCTGGAGGCCAAACATTTGAAATCAGTTTCAACAGGCTGAATCAAGGAGGTTCTATAGGACAATCCTATACCAGGTTTTCATGGCTGCCAGCATTCCTTGGCTTATGGCTATATCACTCCAATCTTGGCCTCTGTAGCCACTTTGCCTTTTCTTCTTCTGTGTACGTTAATGGTTCTTCTGACTCTCTTTTACAAGGACATTTGTGACTGCATTTAGGGGCCACCCAGATAACCCAGAATAACCTCCTGATCTCAAGATCCTTAACTTAATCATACCTGTGAAGTCTTTACTATAAGGTAACATTTACAGATTCCAGGGATTATGATATGGATATTTTTTATGCAGCCATTTTTCAGCCTACCACCATGTCATAAATCATTTCAATAACTATAATACCACCAAAAAGGCTAAGCACCTGGAAACTATATGCACCTTATATTCTCAAATTAAATTTTTTTACAGTGTTCTCTATTTATATTAGTACCAACACAAAAAGCTCCAAAAATGTCATATTTAGAATAAAAAGGGAAGACTGTAGTAAGAAAATATCTACTAAGCATTGCCTTAAGAAGTGATTAATATTAACTAAATTTAACATACTATTCTTTGAAACCACAGAGTTCTTATCATGACAATCTGTTTTATTACAAATGTAAAAATTAATATAAGACTTTACCTCCAGATCCTAACTGCTTGTAGAATCTGTATTCCAAATGTAGTTGTGGTGCTCTGGATTTCATGGGCTCCTAATTAAAAAAAAAAAAAGCAACAACAAAAAATATTTAAGTTATTAAAATATCACTAGGCCCCAATTCCGAATTTATAAATCTTGGTGTCAACTTTTTTTTTTTTTTGGTATTCCAAGCATTGTTCTTTATAATATTTCAACGTTTTGCCTTGATTAAAATACAATCTGAGACAGAGTAAAACTGTGTTCAACAATTTCCACAAATACATATAGTATCCATACATATGGAAAGACCCACCTCAATAAAGCAAAAAAATATTTAATATTTCAAACATTCAGAAGCATATGAATGCATTAGAAAAGGTCTTTAAAAGCTACATAATAAACCAGTAGTTAACTCAGGAGAGGGATCTAGCTTTGAGTAAGGTCAAAGGTGAATTTTTAATTTCTGTTGATTTTTTTATTAAAGATCAAAATATATATATATATATATATATATTTTTAGACAGTAAATATGGTCTATTTTTGCTTCTTTCCAATAAAATACATTTGATCACTTTTTTTTTATACAGCAGGTTCTCATTAGTCATCCATTTTATACACATTAGTGTATACATGTCAATCCCAATAGCCCAATTCATCACACCACCACCACCACCCACCCGCTGCTTTCCCCCCTTGGTGTGCATACGTTTATTCTCTATATCTGTGTCTCAATTTCTGCCCTGAAAACCGGTTCATCCGTACCATTTTTCTAGGTTCCACATATATGCGTTAATATACGATATTTGTTTTTCTCTTTCTGACTTACTTCACTCTGTATGACAGTCTCTAGATCCATCCACGTCTCAACAAATGACCCAATTTCGTTCCTTTTTATGGCTGAGTAATATTCCATTGTATATATGTACCACATCTTCTTTATCCATTCGTCTGTCGATGGGCATTTAGGTTGCTTCCATGACCTGGCTATTGTAAATAGTGCTGCAATGAACATTGGGGTGCATGTGCCTTTTTGGGTTTTTTTTAACATCTTTATTAGGGTATAATTGCTTTACAATGGTGTGTCAGTTTCTGCTTTGTAACAAAGTGAATCAGTTATACACATACATATGTCCCTATATCTCTTCCCTCTTGCATCTCCCTCCCTCCCACCCTCCCTACCCCACCCCTCTAGGTGGCCACAAAGCACCAAACTGATCTCCCTGTGCTATGCGGCTTACATTTGGTAGTGTATATATGTCCATGCCACTCTCTCATTTTGTCCCAGCTTACCCTTCTCCCTCCCCGTATCCTCAAGTCTATTCTCTAGTAGGTCTGCATCTTTATTCCTGCCTTGCCCCTAGGTTCTTCTGACCATTTTCTTTTTTTATTTAGATTCCATATATATGTGTTAGCATACGGTATTTGTTTTTCTCTTTCTGACTTACTTCACTCTGTATGACAGTCTCTAGGTCCATCCACCTCACTACAAATAACTCAGTTTCGTTCCTTTTTATGGCTGAGTAATATTCCATTGCTCAGCCACATCTTCTTTTGATGGACGCTTAGGTTGCTTACATGTCCTGGTAAATAGAGCTGCAATGAACATTTTGGTACATGACTCTTTTTGAATTATGGTTTTCTCAGGGTATATGCCCAGTAGTGGGATTGCTGGATCATATGGAAATTCTATTTTTACTTTTTAAGGAACCTCCATACTGTTCTCCATAGTGGCTGTATCAATTTACATTCCCACCAACAGTGCAAGAGGGCTCCCTTTTCTCCACATGCTCTCCAGCATTTGTCATTTGTAGATTTTCAGATGAAGCTCATTCTAACTGGTGTGATTTGCATTGTAGTTTTGTAGTTTTGATTTGCATTTCTCTAATAATTAGTGATGTTGAGCAGTTTTTCATGTGCTTCTTGGCCATCTGTATGTCTTCTTTGGAGAAATGTCTACTTACGTCTTCTGCCCATTTTTGGATTGGGTTGTTTGTTTTTTTAATATCGAGCTGCATGAGCTATTTATATATTTCGGAGATAAATCCTTTGTCCGTTGATTCGTTTGCAAATATTTTCTCCCATTCTGAGGGTTGTCTTTTCGTCTTGTTTATGGTTTCCTTTGCTGTGCAAAAGCTTTTAAGTTTCATTAGGTCCCATTTGTTTATTTTTGTTTGTAGTTCCATTACTCTAGGAGGTGGATCAAAAAAGATCTTGCTGTGATCTATGTCAAAGAGTGTTCTTCCTATGGTTTCCTCTAAGACTTTAGTAGTGTCCGGACTTACATTTAGGTCTCAAATCCATTTTGAGTTTATTTTTGTGTATGGTGTTAGGGAGTGTTCTAATTTCATTCTTTTACATGTAGCTGTCCAGTTTCCCCAGCACCACTTACTGAAGAGACTGTCTTTTCTTCATTGTATATCCTTGCCTCCTTTGTCATAGATTAGTTGACCATACTTGCGTGGGTTAACCTCTGGGCTTTCTACCTGTTCCATTGACTATGTTCCTGTTTTTCTTCCAGTACCATATTGTCTTGATTACTGTAGATTTGTAGTATAGTCTGAAGTCAGGGAGTCTGATTCCTCCAGCTCCGTTTTCTTCCCTCAAGACTGCTTTGGCTATTCAGGGTCTTTTGTGTCTCCATACAAATTTTAAGATTTTTTGTTCTAGTTCCATAAAAAATGCCATTGGTAATTTGATAGGGATTGCATTGAATCTGTAGATTGCTTTGGGTAGTATAGTCATTTTCACAATATTGATTCTTCCAATCCAAGAACATGGTATATCTCTCCACCTGTTGGTATCATCTTTAATTTCTTTCATCAGTGTCTTAGAGTTTTCTGCATACAGGCCTTTTGTCTCCCTAGGTAGGTTTAATCCTAGGCATTTTATTCTTTTTGTTGCAATAGTAAATGGGAGTGTTTCCTTAATTTCTCTTTCAGATTTTTCATCATTAGTGTATAGGAATGCAAGAGATTTCTGTGCATTAATTTTGTATCCTGCAAATTTACCAGATTCATTGATTAGCTCTAGTAGTTTTCTGGTGGCATCTTTAGGATTCTCTATGTATAGTATCATGTCATCTGCAAACAGTGACAGTTTTACTTCTTCTTTTCCAATTTGTATTCTTTTTATTTCTTTTTCTTCTCTGACTGCCGAGGCTAGGACTTCCAAAACTATGTTGAATAATAGTGGCAAGAGTGGACATCCTTTTCTTGTTCCTGATCTTAGAGGAAATGCTTTCAGTTCTTCACCATTGAGAATGATGTTTGCTGTGCGTCTGTCATATATGGCCTTTATTATGTTGAGGTACATTCCCTCTATGCCCACTTTTTGGAGTTTTTATCATAAATGGCTGTTGAATTTTGTCAAAAGCTTTCTCTGCATCTATTGAGATGATCATATGGTTTTTATTCTTCAATTTGTTAATATGGTGTATCACATTGATTGACTTGCATATACTGAAGAATCCTTGCATCCCTGGGATAAATCCCACTTGATCATGGTGTATGATCCTTTTAATGTGCTGTTGGATTCTGTTTGCTAGTATTTTGCTGAGGATTTTTGCATCTATATTCATCAGTGATATTGGTCGCTAATTTTCTTTTTTTGTAGTATCTTTGTCTGGTTTTGGTATCAGGGTGATGGTGGCCTCATAGAATGAGTTTGGGAGTGTTCCTTCCTCCAAAATTTTTTGGAAGAGCTTGAGAAGGACGGGTGTTAGCTCTTCTCTAAATGTTTGATAGAATTCACCTGTGAAGCCATCTGGTCCTGTACTTTTGTTTGTTGGAGGATTTTTAATCACAGTTTCAATTTCATTACTTGTGATTCGTCTATTCATATTTTCTATTTCTTCCTGGTTCAGTCTTGGAAGGTTATACCTTTCTAAGAATTTGTCCATTTCTTCTAGGTTGTCCATTTTATTGGCATAGAGTTCCTTGTAGTAGTCTCTTAGGATGCTTTGTATTTCTGTGGTGTCTGGTGTCACTTCTCCTTTGTCATTTCTAATTTTATTGATTTGAGTCCTCTCCCTCTTTTTCTTGATGAGTCTGGCTAATGGTTTATCAATTTTGTTTATCTCCTCAAAGAACCAGCTTTTACTTTTATTGATCTTTGCTATTGTTTTCTTTGTTTCTATTTCATTTATTTCTGCTCTGATCTTTATGATTTCTTTCCTTCTGCTAACTTTGGGTTTTGTTTGTTCTTCTCTCTCTAGTTCCTTTAGGTGTAAGGTTAGATTATTTATTTGAGATTTTTCTTGTTTCTTGAGGTAGGCTTGTATAGCTATAAACTTCCCTCTTAGAACTGCTTTTGCTGCATCCCATAGGTTTTGGATTGTCATGTTTTCATTGTCATTTGTCTCGAGGTATTGTTTGATTTCCTCTTTGATTTCTTCAGTGATCTCTTGGTTATTTAGTAACGTAGTGTTTAGCCTCCATGTGTTTGTGTTTTTTACGTTTTTTCCCCTGTAACTGATTTCTAATCTCATAGCTCTGTGGTCAGAAAAGATGCTTGATATGATTTCAATTTTCTTATATTTACTGAGGTTTGATTTGTGACCCAAGATGTGATCTATCCTGGAGAATGTTCCTTGCGCACTTGAGAAGAAAGTGTAATCTGCTGTTTTTGGATGGAATGTCCTATAAATATCAATTAAATCTATCTGGTCTATTGTGTCATTTAAAGCTTCTGTTTCCTTATTTATTTTCATTTTGGATGATCTGTCCGCTGGTGTAAGTGAGGTGTTAAAGTCTCCCACTATTATTGTGTTACTGTCAATTTCCTCTTTTATAGCTGTTAGCAGTTGCCTTATGTGTTGAGGTGCTCCTATGCTGGGTGCATATATATTTATAATTGTTATATCTTCTTCTTGGATTGATCCCTTGATCATTATGAAGTGTCCTTCCTTGTCTCTTGTAACATTCTTTATTTTGAAGTCTATTTTATCTGATATGAGTATTGCTACTCCAGCTTTCTTTTGATTTCCATTTGCATGGAATATCTTTATCCATCCTCTCACTTTCAGTCTGTATGTGTCCCTAGGTCTGAAGTGGGTCTCTTGTAGACAGCATATAT